TGAGATCATGACCTGAGCCAAAATCAAGACACTTAATGGACTGAGCCACCCAGGTGCCCCAACAATAAAATCTTAAAAAAAAATGCATAAGAAGAACTTACTTGTAAACTTTATTTTTCAATATTTTGTATTGTGGGATTAAGAAGTCTTATTTGTTTTTTGTTTTTTTTAACTGTTTATTTTGAGAGAGAGAGAGAGAGAGAGAGAGCATGAGAAAGCATGCAAGTTGGGGAGGGGCAGAGAGAGAGGGAGAGAAGGAGAATCCTAAGCAGGCTTTGTGCTGTTAGCACAGAGCCCGATGCGGGGCTCAGACTCACAAATCATGAGATCATGACCTGAGCCAAAAATCCAGTTGGACAGCTTAATGGCATGAGCCACGCAGGTGACCCCAAAAGTCATATTTGAACCTTGCAGCTACCATCTTTTCTTGGTGCAACTCGTGACTTCTGTGCTATACACACGTCAGTCACATATTGGCCCATGGGGACAAAATCTTGAAGCGTAACTGTGCAGTAATCGTGACTGTCACTTGGTGAACCTTCTCTCTACCCCCAGTGTGACTGCACTAAACTCTGAAAAAGTAAGGTATTTCAGCCAGACGTGCAGGATAACAGGCTGAACATCTGGAATGACCTTGTAGGCTCTGCTTGGCTATTTGGTATAATGTCATTTCCTGTGAAACTCACCTGAAAATTAGCATTAGTTACTATTCCCTGGTTTTAGTTACAAGTCAGTCTTTAAGACAAAAAAAAATATAAGTGAACGGGGGCGCCTGGGTGGCTGGCTCGGTTAAGCGTCTGACTCTTGATTTCGGCTCAGGTCATGATCTCATGGTTCGTGAGTTCAAGCGCCGCGTCAGGCTCTGGGCTGACAGTGGGGAGCCTGTTCGGGATTCCCTCTCTCCCCCTCTCTCCCCCTCTCTCTGCCTCTCCCCTGCTCTCTGTCTCTCTCTCTCAAAAATAAATAACTAAACTTTTAAAAAGGTTAGGGAATAAACCTAGGGTTTAGGTTTTTTTTGAAGCAGACTTCCTCATTCCTTTTCACTTCTGACTTCAGTTGTCTTTTTTTCTTTTCTTTTACATGCTGGAGGGTGATCGCAATCTCTTGAAGTCAGGCATTATACTCAGTAGTATTTTGACATGTCCATACGTATTATAAGAAGCTGAGGGAGCAGCATCCAACCCAATGCCTTGATCACAGTATTTCTAAGTCAGAGTGCATGAAGACAGAAGAAGAACACAGGTGCCACCCTGAGTGAGCACCATGCGGGAATGTGGACTTTCCTTTTCAAAGAAGAGACACCTGGAGGATTCTGAGCTTAATGCCACGGACAATCTCCCTCGTAGCCTTCAACTCCCACTTGCAAGCATGCGGCCAAGGTCACCTACCTCCACGACACCATGATGGATGGACGTGTACTGTTTCTTCTTCAGCATCACCAAGGTGATGACAATCACCGTTGCTATGACAACGCCGCCCACCATGAGTCCAATGATGGCACCTTTGTTTGAACCCACATCTTCTGCAAAGAACACCTTGAAAACAAATCAAGAAAAAGGACTGCAATGGCAGGCGACAACCGGAGAAGGTATGTGAAAAGTTTCAGTATGGAAGTGTGAGTTGGTGGCTACTTTGTTACCTGCTGTGTACTTGGGGGAAAAAACAAACAAACAAACAAAACCCCAAAAAACCCACACATTCTATTTACCAAGAATGACATCTGTGGTCTACACAACAAAGTACAGCATGTGGCTTCCCCAGTTCTGGGAAGTCTACTCCCTCCCCTGCCATCCCCTGCATGTCTCTAGAAAGGCAAAACAGAAGCCAAGAGGAACCCTGAAACCCTCGACAGGTGGAACACCGCTGAGAGGTGGGGCGGGGACCTATCAGCGGCCGTAGAGGCACGGAGCGTGATTTTGAAAGCAGATCAGCTGGGAGACCTGATGCGTGACCACGATGCCTTAGGTCCTTTTCAAACCCCCCAGATGTCCCAACTTCCTCAGATGGACATTAATACGTAGGAATCAAGCGTCTGAAACAAAGGAGTTCATCAGAAGAAAAAGGACATCTTGTTACCTCCTTTTAGCCAATACTTCAATAATTCAAGAGGACGATACTTAACCTTGAGAAGCGTGATGCTTCAAAGACAGTTTTCTTTCAAAGGGAAGAGGTAGGAGGCGACGAGGTGAGAATTTTAATAGTGACACAGAACTCCTGCTGGCTGTTTTTTCGAGAAACCCAAGTAAACCTGTCGTTTTATTCTTGCTGTCCATTTGGATTTAACATACAAAAAATTTGGAAAACACGGCTGAAGATATGCATTCACTTTGCTGCGCAGCATTCCTTCCTACTGTTTATAAAGCAAGTCACTATCTTCAACCTCATCTAAGCTAAAGGGAATTAGAAGACCACACTGCACCTTCTAGAATCCTGTTATGTAAGGAGATGACCATATGCCAGATCACTGGGCCTCACGACTACTAAACACGCACCATATTTAGCACCTAAATTAATAAAAACAGCTCCCTAAATAATTTCTTTCAGTACAACCGCAGCATAGTAAAATGACTGATTTTCACAGGGAAAAGGAACATCCTAGCAATCTGAAAAGGCAACATAAAATACAGCCAATGAAGCCAATTTCTAAAGGAGTCTTACTCAGGGTGTAGCTGCAACAAAATGAGAAACTGTTCATAATTATTCCACTTTCTCAACAAATATGCTAGTTCAACAGACTTATAAAAAAGCAAATTGTTAATTAGCTAATGATACAAGAGTGAGGTAATCAGGAATAAGTGCAAGCCTGGACATCTTCCTATGCCTTTAAGAAAATACTGTAATTTTGTAATATTCATCGCACTAATTATAGTACATTATCTTATCAAGTAGCTCAGTTGAGGGAGCGGATTCTCCTAATTGCTGCACTGCCATTAGTCACTGTCACATTACAGGAGTTAGTGTAACCGTGGAGATGGGTTTTTATGACACAGGCTCCAGAAAATGCAAGTCTGCACATTAATCTTCGGCTCTGTGCCCCACAAGCCCCCAACTCTTCAGTAGTTCCCCCAGGGTTTTGTTTTGTATTGTTTTTTTTTAATGTTTATTTATTTTTGAAAGAGTGAGAGAGAAAGAGAGAGTGACAGTGAGTGGGGGAGGGGCACAGAGAGAAGGAGACACAGAATCTGAAGCAGGCTCCAGGCTCCGAGCTGTCAGCACAGAGTCCGACCTGGTGCTTGAACTCAGGAACTGTGGGATGATGACCTGAGCCGAAGTCGGATGCTTAACCGACTGAGCCACCCAGGGAACCCCCCCAACAGGGTTTTTTTAACCTCTTCAGCAGTAGCCAGATCAAGAGTGCCCCTGATTCTATAATAACCGAGACTGGATTAACCCGCCAATGAAAATCGTGCTTCAAAAAAAGCGAAATGTTCTTGTACAAAAACGCTTGTGGGAGTCACAATGCAAATCTGAACCACAAGTCAGTTTGGGATTTGCGCCGATTGTTAAGTGACAAGAGGCCTACACAATACTTCACAGGCATTTCTTTTGGAATTGACTACTGAGATTTATACATTTTATTGGTGAATATTGGAAAGATACTCCCCCCTGAAAGAGCACGCACGTGCCCAAACACACATGCGTACACTTACGTGCCTGAGAGCGAGTTCTTCTCAAGCATTATTATTGCTAGGAGAACCTTATTACCATTTTTTGCTGAGTACTGACTGTGCAATACAATCGTCTTCTTTGTTTATTTAACCTCCTTACCATGCTTACTGATAAGATGAAGGAAACCCTTGGGGCTCCTGGGGGGCTCAGTCGGTTGAGTGTCAGACTTAGGCTCAGGTCATGATCTTGCGGTCCGTGAGTTCGAGCCCCGCGTCGGGCTCTGTGCTGACAGCTCGGAGCCTGGAGCCTGCTTCGGATTCTGTGTCTCCCTCTTTCTCTGCCCACCCCTTTGCTTGTGTTCTGTCTCTCTCTCCCTCAAAAATAAATAAATGTTAAAAAAAAATTATAAAAAAAAATTATAAAAAACGATGAAAGAAACCATAACATAATGCAGGATTCATTTATCTGAAGCTTTTGGTAAAAGATTTTATCTATTGGAGCTGCCTCCAAAGGGACAGGTGCTCTTTGATTTACTATGATTCTAATATTCGGGGGAAAAAGAGGAGAGGGAGGAGATTTTGTCTGAAAAGGAAGCTGCCATCTTCTTTGCTCCAACCTTTCAATGAGCGACCCTGTTGGGAAAGTCATGTCCTGCTTACCTCCTGCCTCCACCCACCTCGGTAGAAACCCAAAGATCCTGGCCCTGCAGAACCTAAAATGTGGGCGTTGGGGAAGGGACAGGGAGGGACAAGAAGGAGAGATGAAGTGGCACAAGCAAGACAATTATACACGCCAACTGAAGAGAAGAGCCATAAAACGTGTTCTGGGAAACCAAGTAATGTTTGCACACGTGTTCATTTGAGATTTTGTTATGTCAAATCCACCTCTTATCACCTGTCTTCCTAGAAAACAGAGTGGAAATTAATTAGAGTGGATATTTTTATTATTTTTTAATGTTTTTATTTTTGAGAGAGAGAGAGAGAGAGAGAAAACATGAGATGGGGAGGGGCAGAGAGAGAGAGAGGGAGACACAGAATCCGAAG